CAGATGAGTTATGTGCATGTGTGTTTTCAAATTAGCAAATCTAAGATAAGTGCACAGTTCAAAATTACAGCATCATTCTAAGTGGAAGCTCATCGACACTGGAGACAGCATGGCTGCTGAGATGCAGCTGGAGAGCAGGAAGATTACCTTTGTACAGTGAAGGGAGCCAGAGACATGGAGTTGCGTTCCAGTCTGTCCTCAGGAGACGTGGAGTCTCCCCTGGGTTTGTCTTTATTAGTGTAACCCTGAATAAAACTTGCCTGCCTTCTGCTCCCAGTGAACTGGTTGGTGCAATATACATATATATGTAATCACTAGCTTCTTGAGGTTACTGTGAGAAAATACCCCAGGGGTTGGTTGGTTAGTTGTCCAGTTTCACACTGACTATACACAGATTGAAAACTAGGTTGGGAGGAAGCCCCTTAACTAGAAAGAAACCCCAAGATGGACTCTAAAGAGGAATAGACAGGGATGGAGGAGGAAGGATTGGTGAGCCCCCCTCTCCACAAGCCCAGAGCTGGATTGACAGTCCAAGCAGAGTAACAGGAAGCAGAAGCCTTGCTTCTCACTTGTTATTTCACTAAAATTCTGCTGGTATGATTAAAAGTGACTTCCAGTAGCAAAGTCTATAAAGGATGCCTTCCATGTTTTTGTAAAACTCTAGGGACTTCCCCGGCAGACAAGTGGTTAAGTCTCTGAATTTCCACTGCACAGGGCACAAGTTCATCTCTTTTGGAGGAACTAAGATATCCTGCGTACTGTCCAGTGGCATGGCAAAAAAAAAAAGCCTAGTGGACATCTTTCAATCTATACCAAATAACTCCTCTCAGTCATATTTGAGTTATTGAGAATCTTCTTCCTTGAAATGTTCTCATCTTTTGACTTCTGTGAGTTCATATTCTCTGTGTTTTTTATCAGTTCAGTTCTTCCAGGTCTTTTGTGAACTCCTTGGCCTCTCTTCATCACCTCAGAGTTTCTTCAGGCTTTCGTCCTTGGCCCTGTGTTTCCTCACTTTGGTTCATAGCTTCTCCTGGGTTCCAGACCCTCAGATATAAGCACCTCTACTTGACACTTCATAGGCTCCTCAGAGATAATACCCAAAACAGCTTATGAACCTTACACTGCTTCCTCCTCCCGAAACAACCACCACCACTGTAGCAAAGACAGAAATCTTAGCAAATAAACAACACCCTGCTTCTCTTCAGGGATTTCCCATTTCAGCAAATGACACACCACCAGCTACTCATTCAGTTCTACAGGCCCTCCTCTGTCCTATTCTCTCATAGCAAGAAATTCCCAAAAATGCATTGATTGTACATCCTAATATGTATTGTACATCCTCAGTATATCCACAGCCTTCACCAGACCTGCTCAGAGCTGCTATGACAATAAGCTAGTTTTAATCTTCATACTTTCTCCTCCTCCATTTTGCATACTTCAGCATAAATTACTTTTTAAAGCCATAAATCTAATCACAGAATTTTTAGTGTCCACCAGTTAACCTTAGGAAAACTCCAAGCCCAAAGCACTCTTCTGGATTGGGCTCCTGTTGACCCCTTTGCATATCACCATCCCTGTCACACTATATGAGGTAATAAGGAGGTTGTATCAAACTTCTTTCCTCTTCTTAAATGCCCCCGTGTCCTCCTGTCACTCTGCACGTGCCGCTGTCTCCCACCCTGCCCGCCTCTGCTCCCCTCCGATCTCACTTATCCTTTGGGTGTTTTGGGGAGGGGGTGTCTTTTCAGGAAGGCCTTCCTCTGACCTGCCAGACTTGCCCGCGTCCCCGCGCCAGCCTACCCTGACTCTTGTCTAATGGTTGTCTTTCCTGCCAGACCATGTGATCTCTAATATCTGTCCTCTTCCTCGTTGTGTCTTCAGTGGACAGGGAATTGGTCAGGTAACTGATCTGAGGGACCCAGTGTCTTGAGTCTTTCATAGTTTTTCCATTGCTGCTGTAACCAGTCACCACACAACTGTAAACAGAATTCAGTGCCTTGCGTATGCAGGACCGATTTCCCCATTTCTTGCTGTCACGTACTCGGCATTCCCTGCTCCTAATGGACGCCTCTATTCCTTGGCTTATGTGCCTCCCCACCCCACACTGGGTGCAGTCCTTCTCCTGTTTTGAACCTCTCCTCCTCCTTCTGTCTCATGTCACTAACCAAGCTGGAGGATTCTCTGCTTTTAAGTACTTGGGATTAGATTGGAATAATTACACAGATAATTCAGGATAATCTTCCATCTCAAGGCCTGTACCCTTGGTCACATCTGCAAAGCGCCTTTTGCCATGTCAGGTAATATATTTGTATGTTTTAGGGATTACAAATAGACATATTTGGAGGGCATTGTTCAGTCTACTACAGAGCTTGTGGTTTTTTCCTTCCATAATACTTTAGTCAAAAATCACTTCTACTGACTTGTGGTCTCATTGGTACTTGTTTAATTTTAAATGGTACTCCTTTCGTTTCGCTGGATAAAACTGTTGTAAGTTATCAAATGTGCTTAAAATGTGCTGGTATAAGACTGAATGAGAGGGGGAGAGAGAGAGAGAGAGAGAGAGAGAGAGAGAGAGAGAGAGAGAGAGAGTGTGTGTGTGTGTGTGTGTGTGTGTGTGTGTGTGTGTGTGTATGTGTATGTAAACCACCATGAATTGTGTCAGCGGAGAGAACCCAAATTTTAGAGGGGATTGTTGAGTTTACAGAAAGGCTAAAATGGGAGGTAAGGAATTGAATTATCAGTAGCATTGCTGTCCTTTCTCTAATTACTGTAGATTGTGTACTAGTATATCAAGACTCAGTCACAGTCTTTTGTGTAAAGTTGGCCGTGAGAAAATAAAAATGGAAACGTTTCTTCATCCCTCAGCATCCTTTACAGAATCATAGAAATTTAGAGCTGGAAGGGATCTATGGCCAATTCTCTTGAGCTAAATAAAGGAAAGATTGCTGCCTAAAGGAAAGATAGACTGAAGATTTTAGAATTTGACAGGGTAGTTTAAATGGTAGTAGTTGCAATATAATATTACTTAAAAGTGAGAGGAAGCAATAAGAAGAAGAATATTCCTTGCTCTTGATTGAAAGTGGCTGAAATCCATTAACTTTCAAAAGTACAATTAATTATTAAAAATTATTTTTTATAGGATGTCTGTGAGAAAAAAGTAGTGAGCTATAATATGATGTGAATTACCTTAGTTGCTCGATATTAAGCTACAAAGTACAAAAGCAGATTTTAATGTAGAGAAAAATTTAGTGCATGAAATTGAGGTCATATGTGCTAGTGATGTATGACTTACAGGAAGTAATAAAAAGGAAGAAAAAAGAGAAGTAAATGGTATACTTTTAAGCTGATGGGACCCATTTTAAGGGTGGAATTTAAATTGCTGTTCTTTCAAGCTTGAGTTTTTACCCCCATCGCTATGTCAGTGGGGGCGGGAAAACCCTGATCTTAGTGGGCCTCCCCCTCCCTCTTCAGAGCATACTTCTTAAAGTCAGAGAGCAAGCTGTCTTTGTTCGCTGTTCCTGAGCAGAAAGAGGTGGTTGATGCCATTTTTATGTATATAAACCTGCCCCCACCCCAACGTTCATTTGAATGAGAGACGCCCTTGTAAAAGAAAAGTGTCATAGGTTAAATGCATCTGCCTGGGTGTCTACTGCCTAAGGTCATAATCCTATGACAACATTTTATTTGCTCCGCATCTTAAATACAGATGTTTAGGTTTTTGGTTTTGTGTTTTTTTTTTAAATTCAGGAATAGTGTGCTTTTATTAACAGTATTGATGATTGATTTTGAATGTTTTTACTTCAAAAAGCCAAATCTCCTGGTGGGTGGAATTTCATGAAGCACCTGTCAGGCTTTAGGGAGGAGGACCTTTTTGGCAGCAACCCAAAATACATATTTAAACAATGGGCCTGCCAAAGTCAGGAAATTATAAAACAGTTTTGAAATCGCAGAATCTGCTTTTTTTTTTTTTTATTACCCCTCAGGTTTCTTTTGCAGCTTGGTTATAAGTTCTTTCACATGGGATTTACTACCATCCGTACTATTTTAAGACCAGCTTTAGAAAACTAAAATCAAATTTGGAGGTCTCAGGTTTATGTGATAAAAGACCATCAGATTTTAAACTTCCAGTGTCTGGACTCACTCCCCAAACCTTTCAGAAAGATCCATTACTCAGTGTAGCCTGGCTGACTTTCTTAAGTGGTGCTATCCCTTGGGGTCTCCAGTTTTCCTGTGTGCGGTGAGAGCTGCTAGATGAAAAGTATGTCCAAAACAGGGTGTAAAAGCCGAACTCTCAGAAAAATGTGGGACGCTTGCTAAGGGTATGCTTCTTGGCATGTTCTATGTAGCCTGGACTTTGCAACTTCTTAACTCCCCAATTCACTGTTTCTATTCCTGCTTACAGAGCTTCCGAACCCAGGGGGCAAGATGGCAATAATGTCTTCTTTGTATATCCCAGCAATGGGATATTCTTTGTATACTACTGAGTTTTTTTCTTTTTTTGCATTTGTTCATTGTATTATGTTAAGCAGCGTCAGATTTTTATTTAGTTAACTGTTGTTTTATGTTTTATGATTTCGTTACACACAGAAAGTAGGAATCATTTGAACTTCAGCACTGTCCTCACAGGCCAGTAGGCCAGAAAGCTTTGGGGTAGATGGTGGTTGATGAAGAGGGCAAGGGCAAGAGATTTAAGAGGAGGCACAGGTATGAGAACGTGATCTGAGCATACATTATCTTCAAGTTCTCCAGGACTTGTGATTAGAGTTGGTATACATTTTCCAAGTTTCTCTTAGGGAAAACACTTGTATAGTCACTCTGTCACATATCGATGCTAGGCAGAAGGGCAGAAGGGAAAATATAATTTGGAATCTTCGATTCTTTTGTATTTTCATGTTCCTAAGGTTCTTTGGCTGACATCGTCACTATCTATTAAATATTAGGGAGTTTAAAAAATTGAAGGCACCATTCCCATAAAGCAGTTTGTTTTTTTATTCTTATAGGACACCCATCCTGTTTGAAATTTTGTCCTGAATTAACAACAAATGTAAAGGCCTTAAGGTGGCAGTGCATCGAATGCAAGACATGCAGTGCGTGTAGGATCCAAGGCAAAAATGCGGTAAGTATGGCTGTCAGTATCCATCTCCAGGTAAATTGTTAGCTTTCAGTGTTCAGGTTTTTCATTTTTGTAGATTGCTGCTATTTTTCTTTTTAAATGTTTAGGTACGTGTGATACCAAATGTCAGCAGGGATCGTGGTGCCTCTTTATCATATTTTATTATTGTTAACCAGATAACATAAGAATTTGTGGCCTTTTACAGTTGATTTCAGTCTCAATTAGTCTCTAATATGCTACATTACAGGATAATATGCTTTTCTGTGACTCCTGTGATAGAGGATTCCATATGGAGTGCTGTGATCCCCCACTTTCCAGAATGCCAAAAGGTGAACCTTTAAACCTATTAAAAATGTGCTTTATTAGGTACACATTAGCCTAGTCCTAATGTCTGACAGCTCAGGAGTATATAGGTTCTTTAAGCATTTTCTCATCCCTCCTACCTTCCTTATACTTGTCGGTTTAGTACAGGTGTGAGCAGAGAAGTGTAAAAGCTTATAGTTTGGGGGTAGTGTATATAATACATACTGTACTTCAGACACAGGACTAAAAGGATCATTCCTCTCCTTAAACCACTCCCCATTAGAATAAATTTAGACTAGGTAGGTCAAAAGTTTAGAGTATTTTCCATGCTGTTCAGTATAGCATTCAGAGGTAAAACATTACCTGTTCTCGATGATGGTGATAATGATGACTCCAAAAAAGTCCTATGACAGGAGCCATCACCACTTACTTGGCTGTTGATTGATAATCTTGAACATGAAGATCTGAACTATCTTACATGGGTATATCCATATAGAATATGGATTTTCTTCTCTGTTTATTGGGTAGTCAGCCGAGTTCAGCCTTCTTTTTCTCACATGATAATATATTGAACATTGTAAATAACTTTGTCTTCTTATTACAAAGTTTATACATTTTCATTGTGAAAAATTTAGAAAATACCGATTGACAAAAAGGAACGGAAAGAATAATCAATTAGAAATTCTTTCCCTGCCCCACGCACCCTTTTAAAAAGAAATGGAAAATCCTGTACATGTTTATGGTTTTTCCCTCTTAACAATAGATTCTCATATTACCACATCATTAAATATTCTCCCAAAGATAGTTTTTAATGAGTGTGTAGAACTCCGTAGTATATAGAGCTGAGATTATGAGCATGATGACTGTGGGCCACAGAAATGTTTTATTGAGACTTCTCTTAACTGTGTTACAGAAGATCTGGTACTATATTTAAAGATTTTTTAATTTGAATTTGCCAGTGCTCCATTCTGCCTCAGTCTTACTGCTACCTGTTGCTTTACATTCCAGCTTGCTTCAGTCACATGTATTATACCTGGGTGGTTCCTGAACATAACTGATTTTGCAACCCCATGTTTAAAAAAAAAAAAACCAATTTTGTCTAGTGAATATTACAAATATTTCCAATTTTTTCATCAACAATTATTGCCTTAAGATAAATTCCTCAGGGAGGAATTTCTGGATTGAAAGCTATGTCCATGAAAGGTCATGTCAGTTTTCAGGCCAGCCAGAAGTGTATGAGAATACCTGTTTCCCTGTATGATGACTAACACTCATCATTACTATATTACATTGAATCTAAGACACACATTTTTTAAAAACATTTTAACATCTTTGAAATCAGATGCTTCTTGTAGTCATAAATAGCTTAGATTCAATGCAATACAGTGTTAATATTTAAATTTTTTACCAGTTAGATAATAGGAAAAATATGTCTGATAGTTATTTTCTTTAGTGAATTTGAACATTTTTTTGTGTTTGGTTATTGGCTGTTTGTAGATCATCTTGTAGAGCACCTGTTTTTATCCGTTAATCATTTTTCTATTAGGGGTTTTCACCTTTTTCTTACTGATTTGCAGAATCTCTTTGTATTTTCATGTAGTCAAATCCATGAATCTTTTTCTTTATGGCTTCAGTCTTAAGTGTCAGTCATGCTTAAATTATGTAAATAGCCATGTATTTTTCCTGCTTATAACATTTAATTTTGTCACATAATATTCATCTGCCTAGATTGTGTTTATAAAAGATAGGAAGTAATTATTTTCCTTCCAGATAGACATCTATTTGTTCTAGCACCCCTTTCTGAATCATTTCATCCTTTCCCCACTGATTTGAAATATGATCATTATGATATGCTAAACCTCTCCGTTGTTCTGGCCTTTTAGTTCTTATCCGTTGACCTGCTTCCATACGCCACACTTCAAATTATTGTAACTCCACAGTACTTAAATGTTTTAAGTTTTAATTTAAAAAACTATATGTTATAATTATAACTTATTTAACATAGAAAATTCCCAAAAAGAGATGATAAAACAAGTATTATTTTCCCAGAAGTTCCAGTTGACTTAAAAATGTTCCGATTGACTTAAAAATGTCTCCCTCAAATCCAAAAATACATAATATTTGACAAGACTGGGTTTTCACATGTGTTTACGTGGTGGAGGGAGGCTTGGTGACATGTTGGGCAAAACCTTATTGGAAGAATTCTCAGATGGGGCAGCCCTCTGCTCTCATCACCTTGACCCTGGGAAAACTGACCTTTAGTGACACTTCCTGAGGAGAATGACAAAAGGGAATGATCCACCTTCTAGGGTAAAGTTCTGCATACAGACATCCTTGGGCAGCTTATTACAGCTGCAGTTTATATTTAATCTCTCTCCTAAAATGAAACATTAAAATATTTTTCTCATATATATATTAATTCAGGGATGTGGATTTGCCAAGTCTGCAGACCAAAGAAAAAGGGAAGAAAACTACTTCATGAGAAAGCTGCACAAATAAAACGACGATATGCAAAACCCATTGGACGACCGAAAAATAAATTAAAGCAACGATTGTTGTAGGTTGAGATCTTATCAAAAAAAATCTTTTATGTTGTGCTTGAAAATACAGTTGATTGTAACCCCCTTAGATCCCATTAACTTTTTAGCATCATTTTTACAAACTCAAGGGATGAGGAATATTTCTTCTTTTGTATAAGCTGTGGAAATCTTTTTGAAAATAACATTTAAAATTACAATTGGCATTTTGAGGTCTTCTGTTGCCAGTATCTGTGATGCTTAGTGACATTTTTCAAGCAGCAGGATAGAAGCAGAATGTAAGAATTGGAAACACTCATTGTGCCTACTTTATTACTGGCTGAGCATTAAAAGAGCTTAATTATATAAATATTTTTATAGGAATTTTTAAAACAAGAGAGGGATTTGTTCACATCTATAATGACTCTCTTTTGTTACCCCAGATAACATTTTAGAAAAATACTCCTTATTTCTGGTGCTAATGTAGTATTACAAATTGTTAAGATCCCTTTTATGAAATAGAAGCTTCTGAGAAATCTGCAAATGACTGTCCTAATGTTTGCCTCCAGAGAGTTAGACAGGACCATTTGGTATGTGCACATACATATACAACATGTGTATACAAACATATAAACAAAATAATATATTTGCAGTAGCATGCAGTTCTATTGGATTGGTCAAAAACTCCATTTGGGTTATTGCATAACATCTTAGGGAAAATCCAAATGATATACTTTTTGGCCAACCCAATGCTATGTTAGCCCCATTTCCTCTAGCCTAGTTGCCATGTGGTTGCCATTAAAGCCAAATAGAACATTTAGCTGGAATTACAGGAGAAGTAGAGAAAAGAGGTGTAATGAGTGTGTCTGTTTGTTTTTTTAACCCGTATAGAATATAGAACTGAATATCAGCATTAGGTAAGGTGTTTAGAAATGAAATCTGTAGACTTGCATATCTGAAGCAGCTCTGTCAGTAAGACCATTGCCTTTCTCTTTGGGCTTAGTGAAAGGGTCATTGTGATGTAGAAATGAACAGGAACTCTACACACAGTGAACAAACACCAGGTGTCTTACTTGCTTACTCTCCCCTTTCCCTTAGTTTTATCTGAAGCAATTCACTTTATTACCTGCTCTCAGGAAAACAGTATCCTCCTGCACTTTTATCTCCCAAAGGAGAAATAGAAAATGCATGCTCTTTTCTAGAGTGTTTTGTGAAACTTTATGGCAATTTTCTAACTGGTGGACATTCTAATATGGAATTTGTGTTAATTTGTAGAGGCAAACATGAAACATATTCATGAATAAAATCTTTTATATTAGCATCACTTGAAGTAGGAATTATGTGTTTTTGCATTCATCCAGTGTTAAGCATTGTTCTTGAAATGGGACTGTATCCTCAGGGCCCAATTTAAAAAACCGAATTAGGATGTAAACTTTCTAAACAAAGGACACAGCTGAAAATTACATCTGGCACCAATCCTAACTTTTTGTTTGTCCAAAATTGTCCTTTGAGCTTAGGAATTTTTAAGACAGTCTGGGGAGTTTTCGTTTTTACATGCTTTATAAGCGTATTATCCTTTCTGGGCAATCAATTCCAGATACAGTCCAAATGTAACATTCTGATGCAAAACATTTTAGCCTGGATGAGTTGTTTATTGGTGACTCTCACTATGACACTCGAGATCTCCAGCTCTAACCTGATTTGGCTGACTCGGTAGTGTTGGGCGAATCTCCTGGCGGTTGAGCTGCTCCAGATGAGCCTTAGTAGCTTGCTCCATTGGCCTACGCCAGCCTCCCCTTTAGGGCGACTGCTGAAATTGTTCATCAAATCTCTATGTACAGGATAACCACTAAACTGTGCTCTTCTTTTTGTAATTACTTAAGATATTTTTATAATTTAAGATCATATCATTTTCAGGCTTCCATTTCTTCATTACTAGCTGTCAGCTCAACTGATAATTTTTAAGGTCCGTTCTCGGGCCCCAGCACTGCCATAATTCACATGCACATGTTTCTGTTGTATAAAATTCTGCTGCAAAACGGGTGGCTTTCCAAGCCCTAGCCTGAGGCGAAGGCAGGCAGCTGCCGTTCCTGTAGGCAGCTGTGCTAGCAGTGACCTCCGGTCTCCATTGAGCACACAGCTGCATGAGCAGAACCAGCATCACATGAACTGAAATCGCAGTCAGAACCAGTGTGTAAAGACTCTGATGCCAGGTGTCTGATAATGACCATGGTAAATGTGCTGCTTCTCCACCAGACTTTCCATGTCATGTCTGACCTGCTGTAGCTTTTCTTTAACCATTTCTTCAGTTTTTTGCTATTGTTGTCCTTTTTTCAGCAATATTTTATGCTGCAATTAATTGTCTCCTCTACTTAGAGAGTATTATTGGTTATCTTATCATCCTAAGCATAAAATGCTAAGAGGAAGAGGATATTTTTTTAATATTTTCTTTAAAAAAAAAAACAATTTATAGATAATAACTAAATTCTGTTTCTATAAATTTTCCATTTGAGTTAAAATTGCTTCTAACTAGAGATTACATAAGTTTCTTCTTTCACTTCGAGATAATACTTATGACTTATTTCCTTTAATACTTCTTTTAAAAGGCATTTTAGAAAATCACAATTATGTGTAATGACACAAGGGTAACATTTTTTATTTAATTATAATGACACCATTGGGTGATGTTTTAATCTCCTCAGAAATTTTCTTACTCATAATGCCCTTGGGTCCACATGGTTCTTCCAGTCCCTGTTGGACAGGCCCTGGGAGAATCATGACTTGTCACCTTAGTGTTATAACCTGTTCCAACAGAGAAAAGCACCTCAGTGAAGGCACACGCACACAAGCAGGGCTTTAGGGTTGCAATTCAGTTTTTTAAGTTTAAGCCCGTTGACTGCATCTAGTTGCTATAAACTTGTGTTAGATACCTTTAATTCTATTATTAAATGCTGATACTATTCTCTAAATTTTTGCCTAGGTCTGTAACCAGTGATGAAGGATCCATGAATGCATTCACAGGAAGGGGGTCACCTGGTAGGGGTCAAAAGACTAAAGTCTGTACCACACCTTCATCCGGTCATGCTGCATCTGGGAAGGACTCAAGCAGCAGATTGGCTGTTACAGACCCCACTCGGCCTGGTGCCACCACCAAAATCACCACCACCTCCACCTACATTTCTGCCTCTACACTTAAAGTTAACAAGAAAACCAAAGGGCTCATTGATGGCCTTACTAAGTTTTTTACACCATCACCTGATGGTCGCAGATCACGAGGTGAAATAATAGACTTTTCAAAGCACTATCGTCCAAGGAAAAAGGTCTCTCAGAAACAGTCATGCACTTCTCATGTGTTGGCTCCAGGTACCACACAAAAGCTAAAACCTCCACTTTCTTCACTCCCACCTCCAACCCCCATCTCTGGTCAGAGCCCCAGCTCACAAAAGTCCAGCACTTCTGTTTCTTCTACCTCTCCCCAGAGTTCTTCCAGCCAGTCCAGCGTGCCCTCCTTTAGCAGTCTTACTAATAACAGCCAGCTGAAGGCACTCTTTGACGGACTCTCTCATATCTATACCACTCAGGGACAGTCTCGCCAAAAGGGACACCCAAGTTATGCACCACCTAAACGTATGCGTCGTAAAACCGAATTCCCTCTCACAGCAAAATCTAAAGCCCATTTCTTTGGAAAAAGAGATATTAGAAGTAGGTTTATTTCTCACTCCTCCTCCTCTAGCTGGGGGATGGCTAGAGGACGTATTTTTAAAGCAATTGCTCACTTCAAGCGAACAACTTTCCTTAAAAAGCACAGGATGCTAGGCAGGTTAAAATATAAAGTGACCCCTCAGATGGGGACCCCCTCACCAGGGAAGGGGAGCTTGACAGACGGAAGGATTAAACCTGATCAGGATGATGGTAAGCAAAAGGTCAAAGCTCCAACCAAACCTGCGTCCCGTCCCTTTCTCCCCAACCCCCGGAAAAAAAAAGAATCAATCAATTCCTATTTGTCACATAGGTCTTAGCTATTTCTCTTGTTCTCAACTTCACTTTCATACAGAAGCAGTGAAACTTTGACCTTTTCCTAATGCTGACTAAACCTCCAAAACATTATTTTTTCAACTAATACTCTCCCACTTTTATGATTTACTTCCATTTGTAGTGACACTAGGACCCCCCCAGATGCCGTCATAGCGTTGCTTATGGCTCTGTAGTCCCGCATGAACAGCCACTGTCACGCTTCCGCCACGCTGCTCCCCGCGCCACCTCTCCAGCCGCAGCGCTGCGGCCACGTGCTGTCCGCGCTTCCAGCAGGGGGGCGTCGGCTCTCGTTTCCCTCTGTCCATTGCTTTCTCATGACAAAGTTCATCCTGCTTCCTTCTCAGCAAAGCCTGATCTGTGATTCTGTGAAGTGTGCTTTTTGGATGTGAGTGTGTCTATGTGTGTATTCACCTCAGGGAGAAAACTGATTTCATGATTTCATTTAACAAGTTGGCCCGTTACATTTGCTATCCTTTATATAAAACAAAAGCCAAGATACGTGTCATTGGGACAGAATCATAGATTTTATTGTCTCCAACATGATCATGGGAATTCTATGCCTAGACATTGATATGCCTTCTAATCTTGGTTGAAAACTTTGATTTTGCATTGTATTGCTCTTACTTTCCCGTGTTTGTTTACTGAAGCTATAAGAAGATAACAGTGATAATTCAAATAATTTGGGTACGGCAGGGAAAAGGTACTGCTGGATCTATGAGTAGTGCTTAGATGTAAAAGCTTATAAAGCTTTAAAAAAAATAATAAAATTCCCTATTTGCCCACTGTGCTAATTTGGTACCATTTTGGTAATTATATGGCGGTTATTCATGATGCAAGTCAGTAAATACACTGTCTGCTGGTTTTAAATGACAGATACGGAAATCAAAATAAGCATCAAACAGGAAAGTACAGATATAAATGTGATTGGAAACAAGGATACCGTTACTGAAGAGGATTTGGATGTTTTCAAGCAGGCCCAGGAACTGTCTTGGGAGGTAAGGCCAGAATACTGCATTCCAGAAACAAAGATAGTATATGACTTTTGTATCTGACTAGTGTGAAATTAACTGCCTTGCTTTTATAAAGAATCCCCTTCAAAACCCTTTGTCGTTCTTTAACTGCTACCATCATTTCTGTTGACTGTACATTGAAAAGTACCGACTTCTGAGTTGTCTTCACTCCGACAAGTTGGTAACGGCTCAGCTGGTCTCACAAAATAGGCCAGAGTAGCGGTTGTTGAGGCAGATTTTGAAAAGTGCTTCTAGGGGTAAAGGAATAGATTTCTGATTATTCTTGCTCAAATTAAGAAAATAGCCCTTTTAAATAGTTCACTGAAAGAAGAAATCACTTTTAAATTGACCAGTGCTGCTTCCAGCACAGATGGCCAGCAATACGAAAAACGTCTCCTGATTTTAACTCCTGGGCATTGGTGAAGACAATATTGTGTTGCATGATCAGTTGTAATTACTTTTATTTTCAATGTCCAGTAATTTCTTTTAAATGATTTCCCTAAGAGAGTAACGCTACTTAGCTTATTTACACCAAAACATTGAAAGGAAGGGCTGTTGGACTTCTCAGAAACAAATTTCTTATGAATTGTGAGTTTTTCTGTTAGTAGACCACATTTATTAGCCGACTCATTGGAAAAGACTGTGATGCTGAGAAAAACTGAAGGTAAAAGTAGACGAGGGCGGCCTAGGATGAGATGGTTAGATAGCATCACTGACTCAGTGGACATTGATTTGAGCCAACTGCGCGAGATAGTGAAAGACAGGGAAGCCTGGCATGCTGTAGTCCATTGGGTCACAAAGAGTCAGACATGATTTAGCAGCTGAACAAGACCACATTCTCAGGGCACGATATTTATGGATAGATTACCTGCTCTACCTCACTTCCTTTTGTGGGGAGTAGGGGTCTCTCTGAAGGCTCTTGAGCTTTAGTTTTTTTAGTAGAAACCACTTGGACTAAATACTTGTGCTTATTTCTCCTTGAGGGGCCATTGGATACTTCCATTCCTCATTCTACATTCTTTGTAGTGTTTTTCCCTTTGGCTAAGATAATATGTATTCCATCACACCCTACCTCCCAGTCACTGAGGTTTGAAGTCCTTAAATATTACCACTTTGGGAGATGGTATCTGGCATTCATATTTAAGCATGATGAACAGCAAGCAATTACCTGAAAGTTACTGCTAAACCTGAAGCCCTTTCTATCCAACCCAGTAACCCTGGCTTTTCCATTTAATAACATTTCTTGGCTGTGTCAGGCACTGAGCTAGACCCTAGGAATGTCCCGATGAATGAGGCAGGCAAAGTTCTAACCTCCTGCATGAGAGTAAAAGGAGATGGGTGTCAAACTGCAGACTTCAAATTGATTATTTAATTACAGTTGGGGTAAATATTACTTGGTGGAGAAACAGGAACTGTTAACAGTGTGACAGTAAGTAATAGCCATATCATCTTAGAATTTCCTCAGTTTTAATACATTGTAGCAGATCACTGACTGTTCATAGGTGTTTGTATGTTTTAACAGGTACTCATTTTTTCCTATATTGGTAATACTGTTTCTTAAAGAGTATTTGTTTATATATGAATATAATACAAAGTTGACTATTGTTTCCCAAGGGCCTATGATTTTTTTTTTCAACAATATGAAAATTCACAATTATGATTAGCATTGGTAGATTTTCATAGCCACTGGTGAAAGAACCAAAGTGTAAGTGAAGAAATCCTCTTCTGAGACTTCTATTTTGTTTTCTTTCTGACAGAAAATAGAGTGTGAAAGTGGAGTAGAAGACTGTGGCCGGTACCCTTCTGTAATAGAATTTGGGAAATATGAAATCCAAACCTGGTACTCCTCGCCTTACCCACAGGAATATGCAAGGTAATGGAATAGGCCTTTACCTATACCTATAATGGAATAGGTATACAGCCTTAATGTCTCATGTGTAGGAAAGAGCCTTCTAAAACTGAAATTAGGTGATTTTTAAGGCATAAATTTTGAGTGTCAGTTTCAGGTGTTTCCAAAACTATTACTTTCATCAGCACCTTCTTATAGTACTCATTGTTCTATATAAACACCTTATACTCATTAGTTACACCAGTGTTGTAAATTTTGTCTTTTAACTTTCAGTCCATTTTTTCCTCTCTTGATTACTGGGGAAATACTGTTTCTGTAAGAAACCAAATCAAGAAAAAAAAATTTAGCCATTGTAAAGTATTTGGTAGTTTCTTCTTGGTTGCCTTTTTCATTTTCCTAATAAGGCCTGCTAGTTTTATCTCTGATTTCTGGCATTTTATTGTCAAGTATTCTTTTTTTTTTTTTTTACATAAATTAGAGCAAAAGACCTGGAGGAGGAATTGGCAACCCACTCCAGTATTCTTGTCTGAAGAATCCCATGGACAGAGGGGCTTGGAGGACTACAGTCCATAGGGTCGCAAGAGTCAGACACAACTAAAGCAGCTTAGCACTTAGCACACATAGCAAAAAAAAAAAGGAAATACAGAAGAAAATAGGTGGGAGTGGGTAGCCTTAAGAGATTCTTCCCTAAGTCTTGACTTTTAGAGCCATCTGTGACTGACTTATTAAAAATGAAGAGAAAATGGTACTAGGATTTTCTTTTGTCCTGAACTAAGATTAGCTGTGAAATTGTCTTGAACTAATGTATCTAAAAATGGGCGTTTTGTGAACAGGTTTTTTTTCCTTCAGGTATGTCAGGGCATACTTCATTAGTATCTTCTCAAATGCTTTAGCCTGCAAAGTTCGGTAATCACAAATTTACTTTTCTTCTAGAATAGATTTCAACCTTTTCTCTTTCTCATGGGCATCTGCCCAGTCGTCTTAACTGGAGAAAATGGGGAGGATTTCTAGAAGTTAAGTGGCAGACTAAGAGTCAGGGGTTTTGGTTTCTCTTCTCAGTTCACATCGCTCAGCTCCGTGTTCCTAAACAGTTTTTGAAAAACACCAAACACCAATTAGCTTTTATATGTATGGGTAATCATAAGTCATGTTGTTCTGAGAGCTTTGGATAGATTTTGTACATGAATCCAAGATTTGAAATTTCTATGATGAGTCTGTCTAGTTCTCCCCAAAACCCTTCTCCCCATGATTATATCCCAAAGCCCTTGAGAATGCTTCCAGGCATTCTCTTGTAAATACAAGCAGTGTCCACCTAAGCATGACAGGGCACTGGTTAACAAAATGGTGTTATTTCTGAGGTGGAGAAAAAGCCAGCAGAAGTGAGAAATTGTTTGTCTAATGTTACTCAGAGTCAGTGGAATTGGTAGGAACAGATAAGGTCATTTGACTTGACTGCATTTAGTGCTTTAGATTGTGTATAACTGATAGTAACCTTAAAGTTACCTCATCCATGAGAAATGGAGACGGCTAAATTCTAGGACTTCCCTGTCTTATAAGTACACAGATCATTTTAAAAATAATGAGTTCACTTCTCTCTGAAAAGATTGTTATCAAAAAAAAAAGATTGTTATTGTTACACCACTGATTATATGTAATATTGAAATCATGACATTAAGTGTGAAATTTGAAAAATATGCATGGATGACAGGATGCCATTGTTTTTAGAGTCATAGTTCCAAGTCTGAAAACCTTTTTTCTATAGGACATTTCTAAGGAAAGAGATGATTTGTTCGCACAGTAAAGACAGCAAATATTATTAGATTGAAAAATAATGTAAAGTTTGTACATTCTGTCTACTACTGGCTTTCTTTTTCCTTTTTTAAACTACTTCTTTCAAATAATATCATACCACCTTTTTATGACTTAGAGAGAATTGAACAATGTTTAGTATTTCCCCCTGAAAGGAATAACCAATCAGATTATATTCTTTGGTTTTAAACTTTCAACAGATTACCAAAGCTTTACCTGTGTGAATTCTGTCTTAAATATATGAAAAGTAAAAATATTTTATTAAGACACTCAAAGAAATGTGGATGGTTTCATCCTCCAGCAAATGAAATTTACCGAAGGAAAGACCTTTCAGTATTTGAGGTAAGCATGTATAAATAAAAAACTCAGCGTTGGAAACCTAGTGCTTCTAATTGTTGACTATGTACTGATTTGTTCATAGAAGGTACAAAGTTTATTCAGTTTTGGCACTGAAATTCAGAGTGCTTTTTCAAATATCTCCATATTTTGGAGTGTTGTGCTAACCATGTTAAGCAACCTTTGAGATTGATGATGAATTCCTACTTCATCACATTAACTTTTTTGTCTTCTCCCAAATCCCTGTCTGCACCAGATATATTCACCAGTGAATTTATGATCTCCTTAGCTCTTTGTAAATTCTACTCTCTTTGGCAGGAGAAATTAGCTTTGTTCAGCAGCTCCAGCCAATGTCTGGCAGGTGCTCACTCTTCCAGGGAATTGAGCAGCTGTACATATCTCCTCAATACACAACCACCTGTGTTTCCATCCACTTCTTGGCAGGGTGGATAATCCTTTTGGTGAGACCTCAGCAGATGTTGGGACTCCCTCCCTTCCCAGTCTGGGTCGGTGACCACCCCTGGAGAACCCTGCTGTTCACAGGAGCCCCTTGTGGCCATGTGTCTGTAATTGTGTGTTCTTGAAGACATTTTGTGTTTTCAGAATTGATTTAGTAGCAGAAGATCTTTGCCGGTATATCGTTTCATTGTTTGATCAGGTTCTGTTGTCAGTTGCAGGGATCCAGTTTAGCTGAGTCACTTGTTCCTTGAGGAGGCCATGCCTTTCTTTCCTGTTATTGCCTATTCACAGGCCTTCTCAATTCTCTCACTCTGGTTGAGCGCTTCCATCACCCTGCCTTATTATCATTTCTGTTACTCATCTCAGTCATTGTGTTCATTCCTGAGTGCTCAGAACAAGCCTTCCCTGCACAACAGATATGATCTCTTTCTCCAAAATAGTTTTACTGTAGGGTTCTCTTTTTCGGAGTTGTTCAGATTAGGAATTTATTATTCTACCCCACATTTCTCTATAATTCTGGTCTGTAATGTCTTGCATTAAATTTAATGTAGTGGAGGGTCATGCCTAGGTTTCTCACATGGATCAAGCTCCCTCTCTCAGACAGTGTTGGGCCTACTGCTTTTTCCCAAGACTCACCAGAAAACACATGTATTGTGTCTTAGGATTTTTTGAAGCCCCTCTTCCTGGTTAAATCGGGCTCTTTTGGCATGCTTGAAGGGAGAAGGGTATTGTTGCTGAGAAGGTTTGATGTGTGTGTTCTTACTAAACGGGAGGCACAAGGTCTGTCACCCTGGGGCCTGCTTATGTTTCGGGCTGGATGGTTCTTTGGTGTAGGGGGCCTTGTAGGGTGTTTAGCAGCCTCCCTGGCCCGTACCCACTAAATGCCAGTAGCTCAAACCCCCTCCAGTCAGAATATCCAGACGTAGCCAGTGTCCCTTGGAGGACAAAGATCACCCACAGTGAGAACCACTGTGCTAAAGGGAAAGGCAAAAGCCAGTTGCTGTTCTGGTGTTCGTCTTGGGATGCTAACGGGCCAGCCCCAGCCAGTGGAGACGGCAGAGCTGTTCTCAGTTGAAGCTTAATTAATGAATGTCACAAGTTTAACTTAACTGTTGGCTCCTTCCTTGATGCCTTGGAAGCTTTCTTCTAACCAAAATAAAATGAAAATCAGTGTCTCATTGTTTCTCAAAGGACAGAACACATTGTTGGCTTTAAGTAATTGTTAAATAAATCAGCATAACTCTGCCAGAGGGGGTGAGCCTCTCATAAATCCAGGAAAAGTCTTCTTGGGGTAAGAGAATCAATCTTGTTAGGCTAATGAGAATGCTCTATTTCAGGGTAGGTACTTTGGGACCATACATAGATAAGAAGGGAAAAATCAGAAGCAGATCTGTAAATTTTTTACTCATAAAAATAATAGAAGGATTTGGATTGGATAAGTGCCAAGGTACCTATTTTAGAATCTGAGTTAATATTAAGAGTACAGTATGTGGGAAACTTTTGTCTTTGCAGTGTCCTTAGTGACATAACATAAGTAAATAATAATCACAGATTACTACTTTGCTATCTTTTCTATATCCCTCTTGAAAGCATGTCATATTAGATCTTTCACAACTGGTAAGACTTTTCAGCATTGTCATCTCTCTGTTTTTCTGGTTCAGGGATACATACATCTCTTACCGTTTTCAAAAGGACCATACTCCCAAAAACTTCCTTTAATTAAAGAGAGAATTGTATCCTCTGTGCCCATTGCCCATTTGATCATGTTGCCATGTGTGGGACCTAGGTATCATCCAAGGGAAATGCTTATATGAAGTCTAAAAATAATGTGTGCATTATGAGAACCGGTATGGTCCACAGGAGACTCAAGAACGATCAAGTTCATTGTCAAAGAGCTCTGGTTAGCAGATATCCATTTCTCATAAGAAAAGTGTAGGGAAATTCTTCTTGAATCTGCTGTGCTTTCTGTTTTCAACAAGTAACTACATTTGATCAACGAAATTGGCATCTGTGCCTCGCCTCCTGTCTGTAACCATCAGTGTCACAGCTTGACTCTTTTACTTTGAGGAGTAGACTGTCGTCATGGTAGTTACTGTGGGTTAAAATTCATCTCACTTTCTCTAAGTGTTCCCAACATAGGAGTTTTATCTTTTCCAATTATGTTTAAAATAATGCTTGGGATAAAACCAAAATGGAAGCCTCTTTTGCGAATCCACATTTCTGAGGAGTCAGAATAATACAGTTTGTTTGTATGTGAAGCCCTTTGGAAACAACATAAAGTTTAACTTAACTCAAGCAGCATTTTGATTGGTTTACGTTTCTTTAATTCAAGTTTACTTGGTTCAAACAGAGAAGGCATGCCTAATCATTTTTTAGTTGTAATAAATAGTAAATAAGAATTACTCCTTTGTTACCAATGTGTGGCCTTTCTTCAGGAAGTATAAAGAGAAATTTAAGCTACCTTTAATTTACCCCAATTTAAGGAGAAAAGGTGGAATTCTGATTTGCCAAATGACAGCTATTTTCTGATAAACTTTCTTGGTTAATGGAGTGTGTTAATTGTTTAGTGTGGGATTTGAAAAAAAATATATGCTTTCCAAAATACCATATAAAAGAAACAGTTTTATATTGAGTGGTATTTTTATGTTAAATAATGTTGTCTGTTTCTCTTTGCTAGGTTGATGGGAATATGAGCAAAATTTATTGCCAAAACCTTTGCTTGTTAGCCAAGCTCTTCCTGGACCACAAAACATTGTATTATGATGTCGAGCCATTCCTTTTTTATGTCCTTACAAAAAATGATGAAAAGGGCTGTCATCTGGTTGGATACTTCTCTAAGGTAAAACAAGAGCCAGTATGACCTTCATTTTCTTTTTCAGGATGTTTTTGGTAGAGTCCAATTCTTCAAACAGGGCCTTTTTATGACTCTAATTTGAATAAATGACATGTTTCTGAAAAGCTCAGATTCTTATTCAGAGCTCATTAAGAAAAACACACACACAAAAACCATAAGCTTTGTGCCTAGGAAGTGTGTGAAAGACCTCAGCACTGTTTGCTGTGTTGACTGTCAGCATTCATGTAATGTTATAATTGCTGCCTTGCAGACCACCTAGCATCTTTCATTTTGTAAATGTTAAGCTTAGTTCCCCTTTCCCCCTAAGTGGTATCAACATGAAGGTTTCAGTATAATGTAGCATTTAAAAGATAATTCTGTTTTCTCCTTGTTGCATTCCCTCTGTGGTCATCAGTATCTCAGTGAGTTGGAACATTGGCATTTGGACAGTTAAGTTGATATAATGGCTGGTTTTACTCTTTCGTTTCTTACTCTCTGCGCTATTGTTTTAAGATCTAAAGTAGCCTCAGCCTTAGAAAGCCTAAGTATCTCCAGCTGTTAACATAGGGGAGCCTTTGACATATTGAGTGCCTATAGTTTGTCTCTTTCACGTGGTTCAGAGCAGTTCTCTCACATTCTTCTGTTCAAAGGCTTCTGAGATACATTAACTCATATGCAATAAAAGGAATCTGAGTTTGGAGATATTTATCAGGCTAACCTTAAATTTTCTTAGGTAGTTAGGAAATAGTTTAATATGCCAGAATGGTAATTATAAGATTTCTCGGGCAGAATATAAATGCTCCAAATCCTATAGCTTATTTATTTTATGATATATGTTTACATATTAGGTGATAAGTGAATTCCAATTAATCTACTGTTGCATAATGGAATGCCTAATGGAATTGCCATTTTCATGGAAGGTCAAAACTTGGCATACAGACTAAATTTAAAAAACAATCCAGAGACCATAAACAAAAATAGGAATAAGTGACACCAGTCATGGGAAACAGCCTTAACATTTTAATTCATGTATTTGATAAAGCTCTAAAATGAAAAAGAAGACTGTTAACTTTTATAGGTTACAGATGATAGAGAATTAATACAAGGGAAAGCAATAACTAGGAAATTTGTATAATTTATAGAACATTTTACCTTCTGTATAGATGTGTCCAAAGAATTTTAAAGAATTTTTAATTTTTTCTCCAAAGAATTAAAAAGGATAACGGTCATGAATGTCCTTTCTGTTTGAAAATGGTGTTTCTTTAAATCTGTGTGCGTTTTAAAACAAATAGTGATGCTTGTTGACATTGTCCTGCCTCATGTTGAGTTGACCTCTAGGTCTTCGGTTCACAGTAACTTTGGGGGTTTGAGTCTTCTCTTTGTCACAGGTTGCCCAACATTTTTATTTGCGTGAATGCTCAGTCCTGTCCGACTCTTTTCGACCCCATGAACTATAGGGTGCCAGGCTCTGCGGTCCATGGAATTTTCCAGGCAACAATACTGGAGTGGGTTGCCATTTTCTTCTTCTAACATTTTACTTAGAACAAGCTAAACTTTTTTCATTTTGTCCCTGTTTCTTTTATAGTATGGCAGCAACTACCATCATGTCTTACCATACTTGGAATATTAAAATATCCTTTGCAAGTGCAGTAAAACAAAAATTAATCTAAAAAGCAGCTATGTTAAAAGACTAGATGCAAATTAAGCCATATTCTAACATGTCAGTTGGAGTTTGAAGGACTGTGGCCCTTTGGGATTAAACCAAATTCTAGATGTTATAGCCAAAGAATGGCCAAGATGACCTAGAAAATAGAAAAGTTTAGTGTAAATCATTACATGCATATATTTTTCTAAGCATGTAATAGATGACTCAAAACAGGAAGGAAAGAGGGAGCAGTTGTTTATAATTTAGCTGTGGTAACATGTGTTTACAGGCAGGGGGCAAGGATGGGGGAAAAGGACCACTTACGGGTTAGATTTCCAAAAATATCATACAGGTAAAAATAGTTTGAAATAAAGAAAAGACTTGTGTCAAGGATGAATCCTTTAACTCAGAGTACACCTCATTTTAGAGACAGTGACCCATTTGTCTGACTTTGCAAAACAAACTAGTTGATTCTTTGCCATGGATGTACACATCCAGTGATGGGGCCATCCAGTTTCTTAGGAAAATTGACATTCATTATTACTCCTCATTTCTTGGAGACTCCACAGACAGCTCCACATGTGCTAAAGTCGGGAGCACATCTTTTTCACAAAGAAATCTTTAATTCTGCCCTGTAGTGTTTTTTCCTCCACCATTTCCTGTGATCTTTCAAATAGGTTCATTAAAGATCTGGGTGTTCCAAAGTAATTGTTTGATGTGGTTAGTACCATTTGTGGTTAATCTAATTTGTGGTTTATAGTTGGCCAGAGCATTCACAACCTCAAAAGCCTTTTCCAGATCTTCTCTGTGTAGGTTTTGGCGGCTTCTATGTACCGTGAAGAAAATGTTGCTGCTCTGATGCCATAGCCCATGAAAATTGCAAATTTTCCCTGAACTACAAGAACCATTTCCACTATATTCTCTCCAGTCTTCTTCCCGGTTTCAGACTGTTGGTAATATGTTGGCCTTAGTTTGGTTTGGAGGCTTGGGGATTTCTTGTTGCTGTTGTCTTTTTGTTTGTTGTCCTTCTTTGAAATATAGATTATTTCTCCAGCATTTTACTTTGACTGTTTATTCATAAGAGAAATGTATTTGTGCAAGTTTACCCACACAGACACTGTTTTAGTTTCACTGTGGCCTTTAACAAGGCATTCTTAACTGATCCTGCTGCGTGACTCTCTGAATCTTCCCCCCACTCCCCCTGCCCATCTCCCAGGTTGTTTGAGCATAGAAAACCTTTTCTTCCATACTGTGCTGTTTCATTTGACTCACATTTCCTTGGATTCTTTATTCATATTTCATGGTACTGACTTTCAAGAATAAAGATATAATTGAGAGGCATGCCTGGAGTGCGTAGTTTGTTGTTAGCTGATAGTTTGATTGATTAGATGGTCGAGTTATTCTGCTTGATCCTGACCTAACACGTCGGCTCACCTTAGTGGACCATGGTATATGGACAGCGGCAGGTGCAGGGAATTGCCCACTTTAGCAGTGCTCTGACATACTTGATCTGTTTCTCCTTCCCTCAGGAAAAACTTTGCCAGCAGAAGTATAATGTCTCCTGCATAATGATCATGCCCCAGCACCAAAGGCAAGGATTTGGACGGTTTCTCATTGATTTCAGTAAGTGAAATACTTTATTTACTTTCATGATCCAGGGAGCTGATGGCTATTAAAGGAGAGTGGTACATAAAATTTTATTTAACCTTCTTTGTTGTTTTTATCAATAGATAATGGGTTTTCTACTTATATTTACATAGGTTAGAAAACCTTCCTCAAGTGAAAAATGTATTGCTGCTCACTATTGTACTCTAGGAAATTGAGACCCCATCTCTCGCAGTGTCACCAGCTCACAAAACCATTACCCTGAATGAACCGGCAGAATTACATTCCATTCTGTGAGGCTCATGCTCATTAGCACCAAAAGAGGCAATTATTTGTGATTAAAGCCAGAGGAAGTGTTATTTAAAAGGATTTTCAGCTTTCTGAAATTCTGCCTATAATCTTGTGCAGTACAGAGCAGAAATGGAGTTGGGGGGGGGGTTCTATTTAGAAAAACAATTCTTTAGGTAGCCTATCCTTGGAGCTTCTCTAGTAGAAATAAATATCTTGTTTTGTCAATTTCCCTTTTCTGTTATGGAAATTACTATGGAAATGTTTGTATTTAAAGATTGCCCAAGTAATACTTTTTATACACATTTGTATCTGCTGAGTGTCCTCGATGAAAATCGGAATGCTACTTTAAAGTATGCATAAAATAGTGTTTAAAGAAAATTGGTCGTTTTTTCCTCCTTTGTTTACATTAGATTGGATGTGTAAATACAGTATTAAAGCTGTATTTGGAAATTTGATTCAAAATATCCAGATAACAGGAAGACCAGGTATCTCATGATAGTAATCACTTCTGACCATGTGAAAATCTGTCACTGGGAACTGTGTGCTTCTTCATTATCAGAGTTTAAACTGAAAGAAGGAAAACACAGCAAATCATGTAATCTTCATAAGGTACATCAGATGCAAAACCAAAATGTAAATATACTCAAGGAAAACCATGAAGCAATGTGTTGAGTGTAAATCTATATTATTAGATGTTGAAATATGAAAGTTTGGGTGTAAAATATAACTATATAGCAGTGTTGGACTGATTTGTATAATTTATTGACATTGAAAGATAGTATTCTTCTTTGAAGTATTTAATTGATTATTTTTATATTTTCAGATGCTATTTCTAGTCATTAATTAATTACCTTAGTCTTACTCTTCTTTCTTGATCTAGTTATCCCATGAAAGGTCATCTTACCAGAAGTTCACCATTTTATTTTACAGTCCCAGTTGTAATGTGTACTACAGGCAAATCCAATTGTTTTATTTTGGAATTTTTTGTGGCCACTGTTCACAAGATATTCCTAATAATTTTTGGTATGCCTCGCAGCCACTTGAGCCTTAAATTTTGGATAGTATTGCATGCTTACAGAGTAAGGCAGACTACTTAGTTCAGTATTCCTGACCTTCCAACAGCTAATTCCAGCCTCTCTTTGCGGCTTTTTCATGTATTATGTTGTATATTAACCCCATTTCCTCAAATACTCTGAGCAGGTTCCCATATTTCCATTGTCTGTGTGGAGCCTTCCTTAAATGGCCACTTCCTCCTTTTCTAGCCTCAGTCTATTCAAAATCCTACCCATTGTTAAGAACTGGCTCAAGAACCTCCTTTTTATTTTTTTCTTAATTGGAGCATAATTGCTTTACAATGTTGTGTTAGTTTCTGCTGCACAACCATGTAAATCAGCTGTAAGTATACATGTATGTCCTCCTTTTTGAGCCTCCACCTCTTCTTTTTGATCCCATCTCCCAGAGTTACATCCTGTTTTTTTCTTGGCTCTATATCTCCACTGTGTAGCACTTGGATCCAATTCGTTCTTTTGTAGTAATTATTTGATACAAGTGTCATGCTTCCAGCTTGCTGTAAGCTCCTTGGACACCTTCTTTTTATTCAGTAGGGCAGAGCACTCAGTAATCTGCATTAGGTGTATTTTTGCTCGTTTGAATGGAATCTCCAAAGTGATATGGTCACTGCCCATGATGATTTTCTACCTAAGGTTTAAAAGAGACTGGTACTTACCAGGTAAAAATGCAGGTCTCTAAATATAGTAGCCACTTATTTGTTCAGCATGATCTGGTACTGAGGCCTTCTGCATAAAATAACAACCCAGGAACAAATGCCAAATCTTTATGTTAACCATTTTAGTGAAAACTGTATTAGAGTCTACTCTGTTTCTTAAAACAACTAGGGAACACAGTGGAATCTATCTGGATGGCTCAAAGCCATCATGTTGAATGCCATCCATTAGGGTGCAGCCAGGCAATGCAATGCTAAAATGTGTCATTTTAGATTTTCTCTTTCATGTACCCTTGGCATCATCCTGCACTGGAGTGGGTTAAGAAGTATGGTGAATGATTTGAATAAAGCTGAAAGGGGACTGGTGCTGTTTCTTCAGAGAAGAGGAGATCAGGGGAAGAATTTTATAGCGCTCAAAGAAAATGGGAACTAGTATAAACCAAACAAATTCAATTTAAAACCAAACAATAATTCCTTGGCTACACACGTTTTAAAGAAGATAGAGTAGGCTGCTGTCAAAATTGATAGCCTCTCCTCATTTGGAGTTACTTAAAATAATAGTAGATAAATATCTTTCTATAATGATTAGATCCAGTCTTTTGCAGAAGGAGGAGATAAACCCCATGACCTCGCATAATCCTTATTGACCTTACAATTCAGAACTCAGGGCAAAACTGATAACTGGAGTTACAGATTTTTTAAAATCTGCTCTGTTTTTTTAAAGGAACCTTTTAGGGGTTAAATTTATTTTATTTCTACTTGTACATGAACCTGAGGGTCTTTTGGTCTGGGCAGGTATTTTCAGTAATTTAAAGAAGGTTGTAAGGCAGGAAATCTTTACTCGATCTACAATAACTACTGGTTCAGGAAACTAAAACAAGACACCAATAGAAGGAAAGCTGTTCACTGCCCAGCTGCCCACTGGCACACAGGATTATAGATATGGCCACAAAATGATGAGTGAATATAAAGAACTGTGAATCTAAAACTCTGAACACTGTTCTCAGGAGATGGAATGGTCATCCCAGGACCAAATGGTGTCCTTGGAATGTTATTGTGTGTGCCTTCCTAGGACAGCTTCTCTGGGATGTGTCCGAGCAGAGCTTCCTGAGAGGTCATCTGCAGATTGGCCCAAGTGACTAAGGGCACCTACTCCCAGCCTGCTCATAGACCAACTCACAGGTTTTGTAACTCTGCCCAACACTTCAGTCGGAGGTGGATAGCGGAAGGAGAGGCTTATCATGGGTTGAAGCTGATACTGTATTTCTCTTTCTCTCCTGCTTTCTAAGATTTCCCTCTCTCCCTCAGTTAGAAAATTTTAAAGTCTTCCCCTTCTCTGTGTCCACACATACACACATACCACTCTCCATCCACACCAGACATCTCAGAACTCCAGAGAAGACCCCTTCCCTCAAAACTTCTGTGATTCCTGCTTCCAAGCCTCCCAGGGTGAGGCAGTAGCGTGTCCCTGCTGCCAGAGCCAGCCAGCAGTGCCTTTCCAGCTCACTGCTTTCCCTTCAATTTTGAAGTACTCTCAGACTTAGAGGAAAGTTCCCATCTACTCCACCCCAGTTCCCCAGATTTTGTCACATTTTGTCACATTTGCTTTTTTTTTTCATTTATTTTTATTAGTTGGAGGCTAATTACTTTACATCATTGCAGTGGTTTTTGTCATACATTGAAATGAATTAGCCATGGATTTACATGTATTCCCCATCCCGGTCCCCCCTCCCACCTCCCTCTCCACCCTATCCCTCTGGGTCTTCCCAGTGCACCAGGCCCGAGCACTTGTCTCATGCACCCAACCTGGGCTGGTGATCTGTTTCACCCTAGATGATATACGTGTTTCAATGCTGTTCTCTTGAAACATCCCACCCTCGTCTTCTCCCAGAGTCCACAAGTCTGTTCTATACATCGGAGTCTCTTTTTCTGTTTTGCATATAGGGTTATCGTTACCATCTTTCTAAATTCCATATATATGTGTTAGTATACTGTAATGGTCTTTATCTTTCTGGCTTACTTCGCTCTGTATAATGGGCTCCAGTTTCATCCATCTCATTAGAACTGATTCATATGAATTCTTTTTAATGGCTGAGTAATATTCCATGGTGTATATGTACCACAGCTTCTTCATCCATTCGTCTGCTGATGGGCATCTAGGTTGCTTCCATGTCCTGGCTATTATAAACAGTGCTGCGATGAACATTGGGGTGCACGTGTCTCTTTCAGATCTGGTTTCCTCGGTGTGTATGCCCAGAAGTGGGATTGCTGGGTCATATGGCAGTTCTATTTCCAGCTTTTTAAGAAATCTCCACACTGTTTTCCATAGTGGCTGTACTAATTTGCATTCCCACCAACAGTGTAAGAGGGTTCCCTTTTCTCCACACCCTCTCCAGCATTTATTGCTTGTAGACTTTTGGATAGCAGCCATCCTGACTGGTGTGTAATGGTACCTCATTGTGGTTTTGATTTGCATTTCTCTGATAATGAGTGATGTTGAGCATCTTTTCATGTGTTTGTTAGCCATCTGTATGTCTTCCTTGGAGAAATGTCTGTTTAGTTCTTTGGCCCATTTTTTGATTGGGTCATTTATTTTTCTGGAGTTGAGCTGGAGGAGTTGCTTGTATATTTTTGAGATTAATCCTTTGTTGCTTCGTTTGCTATTATTTTCTCCCAATCTGAGGGCTGTCTTTTCACCTTGCTTATAGTTTCCTTTGTTGTGCAAAAGCTTTTAAGTTTAATTAGGTCCCATTTGTTTATTTTTGCTTTTATTTCTAAAATTCTGGGATGTGGGTCATAGAGGATCCTGCTGTGATTTATGTTGGAGAGTGTTTTGCCTATGTTCTCCTCTAGGAGTTTTATAGTTTCTGGTCTTACATTTAGATCTTTAATCCATCTTGAGTTTATTTTTGTGTATGGTGTTAGAAAGTGTTCTAGTTTCATTCTTTTACAGGTGGTTGACCAGTTTTCCCAGCACCACTTGTTAAAGAGGTTGTCTTTTTTC